TGTGAGACAGGATTTATAGATTGCAGTACATTGAAAGAGAAAGTCTTCTATTTCTTTGTAGCAGGAAGTCGACCTGATTAGTTCTTTGGCGGTTAGAGTGGAGTGGGTCTCGTGAATGAGTAGAGAAGATTAATGTCGAAGTTCTATTTTTCCTGCCTTTATATTGAGGCCTGTAAGTGATTGGAAATTGCAGTTAGTATGCATAGGATTGTCCTTCGCTTTGGTACTGTGTCCTTAATCTTTTGTTTCAAAAACGAAGTTAGCTCATTGACTTATCCTTATGTCGCTGTTGTTGTTAATGAGTTGCTAAAGAGAAGAAAAGTAGATGATACTTTTCAGGGGATTTAAAACTATTTTTATTTTACGTATTAAACTTTGTCTTCTGCTAGAACAGTCAATAGATACTCAACATTTGTCACTCCATGGTGCAATTAATGGAGTTAAGTCTTGGCGTAGATTTCTGACATGTTCCTCGGAGTCATTGAAGAATTTTTTGGTTTGATTCGGAAAATAGTCTACATTATTATTATTATTATTATTATTCATTTTGATGTTTGTATATATGCATACACCCCACCGGGTCCCAACCAGATATCTGAGGGATTAATTATCATGATACGGCGTTTTACACAGTGAAAACATTGGTTCTGACATTTATTTTATTGTTGAGAAAACACATTTTAGTTGTAGTCAGCACCTGATCGCATCCGACCATCGGGATTGTCATCCTCTCTCCTTATTCCATTTTCTCTCTCTGGTGACGGTGATGGAGATGGATATGAAAGCCCAGCCTACTCCTGAAGTATCGTGAGTAGGAGTGTAGATGGGCGAGTCGGGCACATCGTAGATCCTCTTGACGGTTGACTCGAAAGTCTCAGACACAACCCCAGGTGATCCTAAGCCACGAAGGCCGATTTGAAGCAACGTTTTCCCAGATCCCTGGGTCGATGTTTTCAACTGATCCCTGAACCATCATTTTTGGCCTCAGCGTACTCTCCTGCCGCTAGCAAGTTCTTCAAGCAGTGTGATACGTGGGAGCCGAGTGGGACGCATTCTGGACACGTGACCCGCCCCGTTCCTATTATGTATCTATTGAGTCTTGACAAAATCCAAAGAATCTGCAATGTTATCGGTCATGACCTATCATTTCGGTTTCAATCACTTTCCCACCGCCGTAAAAAACAACCTTCTTTGTGTCTTTTCTATAAATATTTCCATAGAAGTTCTGATGAGCTTTCCTATTTTTTTTAGTGTTGTTATTTTTATTCAAAGACAAATTGTACATTGGAACTAGTTAGGAGTACATAGAGACTCTGCGGTATTATGGTGACTGTAGTAAAAACGGTAAGTAAGAATCTACTGTTTTGGTGTAATAAATACTGTGGTATGTTTCGATCAGTAATCGTGGTTAGCTAAGTTTAAAATAAGATTGAAGACTATCCTTCCTCTATCCCCCACTTTTGGCCTTTTGTATTATTTAAAATAAATATTTTTTCCTCTTTGTCACCTAGGCATTATGAATTTAACCGTGGCCCTAGATTGGCAGAATCTCGCTTGTGGAAACCCTCTTCCAGCTTCTTGCTTTCCTGTCAACTACGATTTTGTATAATTTGAATGTAACTCCAATTGTCACCTTATATCTTTTTGAGACCCATTCTTTTATTGTCTTTTCTTCTCAATAATGCCTTCTCTTTTTGATTGGTTTTTAGCGCCTTTCTTGGTGTAAATTAATTAAAAGAAAATTTTTCAGTAGCCTTTCTCACTGTTCCCGCCCATTTACTTTTTTTTTTGTCTCTTGTTGTTTTGTTTCCGCCATAAGACTAAATAAGTTTCCTTCTTTTTGGAAGGTATTTATTTTTGTTCAATTTTCAGATGAATCTTCTGTTTTAAACCGGTTCAAGTCTTGCTGCAGACAACTATATTTTCTTCTATATTACAATGCTTACGACATGTATATAGTGCCGGCCGTAGAGTAATAATTAGTTAATCTCTCAGACATTGCTAATGTAACAGCATCAGTTCTCTCAAGAGACCTCACTAGTATAACCTTGTGCCAAACAAAACTGAGTAAATATCTCCTTTACTTTATCCCTGGTTGCATGCTAAACGGTTTATTCAAGTTCAGCATCTCGCATCACAATTTTCCCCAATTTGGGTTGGCCAAGATGCCGGCGCCATTTTACCCTCCAATAACCACGTCCGGTTTCAGCAACGAAACTATTTTTGAGATGATTTATTGCCGACTTTGTTCATCGTTTGGTTTATTTGGTTGCTTTCATTCTTTTTTCTTTTCAAAAGGAAAAAGAAAGACAAGCAATAATCGGTAGGTCAATGTCACTAGCAGCAAATCGATGGCGTCCAACAAGTCCTTTGGCCCTTCCCAAAATGAACTGAACAAAGGCAGACGAAACATTTTGGTCGCACCAGTTTTGTCCAAAATTCATCATTCTTTGTTAATGTTTCCAAAGCGCCAGATTTTCTTTGCTTTCTATTTTTCTTTACTCTTTTCTTCTGTTTTCACTGTTTTCTCTTTTTCATATTCACACTCTTCTTATGCCTCTTCATTCTTTTCTTTCCTGTCCTTTTATTATTATTATTATTATTATTATTATTCCGTTGATTTCTAGTGTATATTTATTTCTTTCCGGCTCCCAGCCAGAGACCTAAGGTTAGAAATGGCATCATGATATTTTCCACTGAGCATTTACCAAAATAACTAAGATCACACACGTTTTACATAAAGTCCTTCGTAAAGTGTGAGCTGTGAGTACAATCATTATTATTATTATTATTATTTCGTAGATTTCTGGTGTATACTCATTTCTATCCGGATCCCAACCAGAGACCTAAGATTAGAAATGGTATCATGACATCTTCCACTAAGCATTTAAAAAAAACAAAAAATAAACAAGATGACACACGTTTTACATAGATAAAGTCCTTCGTAAGGTGTGAGCTGTACTTGTAAGCACAATTATTGATATTATTTTATTTGCTTTGATTTTGGTATATTCATTTCTTTCCGGGTCCCATCAAGAGACCTAAGGTAAGAAAAGGCATCATGACATTTTCCATCAGTTGCGACGTAGTGCAGGGTTAAAAGCTGAAGCCAAAGGTTTTCTTCTTGCTACACAAGACCAATGCTTACTAACTAAAAATTACCAAGTACACAAACGGAAAATTATTGTTCGCCTAAAATGCAGATTCTGTATTCTGTAGTAGTAGAGGTAGTAGTAGTAGTAGTATTGTTGTTACTATTATTGTTTTTGTTGTTGTCTTGAGATTTTTTTTTTTTTGTTTTTGCCTTTGCTCGGGGTCGGCACAAGTTGCTCTCAAGTCTCAACGAGACACTTCAAAAGACATCATTTGTTTTTCATCAGAAGATGCAAACAGGTACGGCGCCACGCTATCAAGAAGGCAAATATAGTGTGCGATTGATAAATTATCGTCTAAATGACACAAAAATGAAAATAACACTGACATCTCATTTTAACAGATATATTTACCAAAATTACGCACGAATATCTTGAAATACTAAAGAGTAAATTTATTCAATAAAATCGCCATTGGCTTCAACCACGGCCTCCAGATGAATTCGGAATCTCCTGCTACTCTTCTGGACGGTCTCCTTGTTTAAGTTGGTGAATGCTGCCATAATCTTTCCCTTCAATTCACCTTTGATGTTACAGGGAGTTTTTTTTTTTTTTTTTTTTTTGGTCTCTCGCTGAACGGCATCCCACACATAATAATCAAAGGAGTTACTGTCTGGGGAGTTACGGGGCCAGATGTAAGAGGTGATGTGGT